CAGAACCAGAACCAGAACCGCAGGTTGCGTGAGAAAGAGCTGGCTGAGTTGGGCAGAGGGAGCTCCCCGCTCGCCAAGGGCCGGGGGAGTTCATGTCAGAGACAACCCCGTGTGCCCACGCAGGGGACACAGGAGTCACTACCGGGAAGCCAGGGTCCAGAGGTGGGCAGCTGCAGGACACCTGTGGGTGGTGCCAGCCCCCAGAGAAAGTTCTAGGTGGAGACCTGGTGGTGCCAGAGGCAAGAACGAGGAAGAGGTTAGGGTTCTGTAAAACCTTGTGAATCTCAGTGTGCACTTTGAGACCCCAGGGGATAGCACACCCCTTTCCTGTGCTGGCTGCGCGGATGTGGGTGTGACCTGGCTCCTCGATCACCTCTCGCCTGTACCTGGACGTCGGCCCCGCCTGTGCCTGGACGTCGGCCCCGGCGGAGCCCCGGAAGTGCAGCTCTGAGGCTGCACTGACCAAACAGATCTGGGGACCACCAGGTCGGGCCTTCTCCTGGGGGCAGCCCCACAGGAAGCCCAGATTCCAGGCTGGGGCTGTGCTCCCCCAGAGGGCACGGCTGGAAAAGCTCCCTGGTCACCACCAGGAATGGGCGCTGCAGGCGCAGGGTGGAAGGGACTGTCCCCGACCGGTGCAGCTTGTTGTCCCCCTGACCATGAACACCCTGCTCTTAGAGCAACTACACCCTTCGGGGACATTCCACACCTGGGGCAGAGAAGCAGCACGATTTCTATGAAAGCAGTGAGGCCAGGCCATCAGTGCCTCCTGAGTCAAAGCCCTGGTTTGCTCTGTCTTGAGGGGGCAGGGCCTAGGGGACACAGGCCTCAGGCTGGGGCTGCACCACCTTCTTGGCCCGTCTGGTCGGAATGTGGTGGAGGTCATCCAGCCCAACTCTCTCGCTCCGTGCATCTGGCCACGGGCCACACCAGCATCTTCTGGCCGTGTCTGAGCTGCAGGCCTGGGTGCGGCCACGGTTCCCGGGCCCCTTCCCTTGAGAGGAAGAGCCAGCCCTGCCCCGTCTCCACCCAGAGGCCGAGCAGAGCCATCCTTAGGGGTGGCTGGCCGTCTGTGCAGCCAGCACGAATGTTCTCGAGTGCCCCGCACGCGAACTGCTGGTGGGGACGTGGTGCGGGGTCAGAGAAGTCGGGGCTCCACACGCCAGCAGCTTCTAACCCAGACGCCTTTAATAGACCCCATTCCCGTCCGCGCGGGGCAGAGGCGGCCGCTCGGGCTGTGGGTGGCATGCAGGTTCCTGGCTACAGCTGTCCTTGGTGCACGATGTGCTGCGCTAATCAACTACCAGACCGCACACTTGGTCGTAAAAGGAGAGCATCTCAGCTAAAGGATCCTAAAATTCCCCTGGACTCGGGCTACTACAAGAGCGGAAGTTTGGTCCTCGGCAACGTACGAACGAGGCTGCCCTTTGCGAAGTTCCTGATGGGTCCCTGAAATCACAGCAGCTCTGGGGCAGGGGGCTCAGCTCGCGGGCGCTCCCCCCCCCCCATACCGAGGCGGACAGGGAAGGGGGGGCAGGCTGCACCTTCACCCCCAGGAGCAGAGGGGAGGCCTGGGGCTCCGTGGGGCAGTGATTCATAACGGGACGGGAGCCGACGCCCCAGCCTTGCGGCGGGGCCCCCGTGGTTCCCGTGGTCCTGGTGGGGCGGCAGCTCTGCCTTTGTGAAGCACCCAGCTATCCTTCGGGGCCACCTGAGCTGACTCCGCCATCACATCCAGCCTCTTCAACCTGGCAGTGAAACCCCCCAAATTCAGCCCTTTCCTTGCACAGGCTCCTCCTACAGGACCTGGGACCCCAAAAGGGTAGTTTCTTGGGGGGTGGGGGGTGGGGAAGGTGAGGCCAAGCACCTTTCAGGTAAGTCTGACAAAGGGAGAGCTATGTGAGGTGAGCAGCCCCGGCCAGCCGCCGCCCCGTGGGTGGGACAGCACTGGCTCGCCGGGTCCCACGCGGACGCCTAGGACAGCGAGGTGATGTTGGAACGTCCGCCAGGGGGCGCCATGATCTTCTGAGCCGTGCGTCGCGCAATGTGGTCGTCCGCCTGAGACCCTGCAGAACGGGTGGGCCTGAGGGCAGGGGCACGGACGCGCTGGCTGCACCCGTAACTGGGGCCGTGGCTGCGGAGCCCCCGCGCACCCACACCGCGGACAGCCTGGCGCACGGACGAGCAGACCATGCAGAGGCTCCCACACCGAGGCCGCGGGTGCGCGGGAAGTGAGGTGGGGCGGCCAGGCCTCCTCGTCCCACCTGGGCCCCACAAGAGAAGCCTGCCCCTAGCTTTTATGATGACCCCAGGAGGCCAGCAGGGACTCTGCCGCCAGTGAGAGGGAGGACAGGCGGGGACATCAGGGGTGGGAAGAGGTAGGACCCGGGCCCAGTGCATCTGCAGGGATCTGTCACAGCACAGCCAGGATCCTGACCAGAGGCCCAAGGGGCAGCCTGCACCCTGGGCCCCCGGAGCCCTCCACGGTGTCCCTGTGTGTCCCCATGTGCTCACAGAGCCCTTCCTCATGTGCCTGACATGGAACTCCCGGGCTGGAGGGGCCGGACCCCACACGGCACCTGGCACAGGCATCGTGTGCCCATCCCGTCACTGAGCCCTCTCCACAGCGCGAATGATCCAAGTAGGGGTCACCGCGGCCAAATTGGGGCAGACGCTGGAGCGGGAGGGCCTCCCCACTGGCCCCTGGAGGGTGGGGGTAGCATGTCCTGCACCCCCATCCCCACACTCCCCATCTGCGGGCGGTTGTGGGTGGTCTGCGGCCTTGCTGAACTCACCCCGCCACAGGCTGGGTGCTGGTGCCCACCCCGGGGGCGCTTCCTGACCCTCGGGATGCTCCAGCGGAGCCCCCACCCCAGCTCCACTCACCAGACAGGCTGAACCCCGACTGGTGCAGGTTGCGCACCGGTGGGACCGAGATCTTCCCTGGGCAGGATGCGCGGGCCTGGGCACCGCCCCCCGGTTTGGCAGGCACCATCACCTCGTGGACAGGCCCGTCGTACAGGCCTCGGGGCACGCCGTGGATCTCCGCCAGCTGTGGGGCCGAGGGGGCTGGGCGTCAGGGGGACCGAGCCTGCTCCGCTCCACGGCCCCCCTCTGCCAGGCTCTGGAACCCCAGGGCTCCCAGCCAAGGGAGGGGTTCCTCCCGCGACCACCCGCAACCTCGAACGCACCCCTCCCTCCCCGCTCCCCCCTACACAGTGTGCACGTCCCTCCCTGCTCACACCTGTGCACACGGCCCCTCTTCCCCTGAGGCTAGAGGACACGCTCAGACAAGGGCAGCCCTGAGGACGTGGCCTCTTTAAGGAAGGGGAAGCCGGCCCCCGTGGCCACTGCCTCATCAGTAGGCTTCATTCGTGGCCCCAGCAGAGCCCCCACCCCAGCCCCGAGGAAGCCCTGGGTCCCGTCCTCCCTGAAAACGGCCCCAAAGCCAGAGACATTTCCCCAGTAGCCACCATGATGGAACGGTCCGTGAACGAAGCAAAACCCTCCTGTGTGCTGTTTCCTGCTGGTGCCTCCCTGGGGTTCAGGCTCAGACTCGTGACTGCTGCCAGTCCCAGGGGGTCACCACAGGGTGCGGGGGGGGCAAGTGTGGGGCTTCGAGTCCGACGGCTTGGGTCTGAGTCCACACCCCGCCTCCAGCACCCAGGGGAGGGACCGGGAGCCACCTCTCCCTGCCTGGGCTGGAGTGTGGGGGCAGGGTCTGCAGGAGCCCAGCAGCGGACCCCCACCCCTCTGGGCGGGAGGCGGAGGGGGGATGCCTGGACTTCCGGCCTGGGCTCTGCACCTGGGCCGGCTGGGCCGCGTTCTCCAGGCCCCACCTCGGTGAGCAGCTGTGTGGCCCTCACGCCCTGAGACAGCGGCATCTCCGGGAGTTAGAGCAGATTCCACTCTCCTTCCCCCCGGAGGAGACCACCACCCCGGCCCCCGGCCCACCCTGGAAGCCGGCCCTCCTTGCTCTGAGCTCAGACAACGTCCTTCTAGAAAGCTGGATAAAGCAGACCTGTGTGTGCAGTAATTTTGTGTACACGTGTGCGTGTGTGTGCGCGAGCCGGCTACGCGTGCCGCGGGGCCGGTCAGACGCCCGGTGCGTCCCTCAGACGCAGGGGGCAGCTCAGCCAAGGGTCGCGGGAAGGAAGGAAAGATGTGGAAAGTACTCCCAAATCCCCGGTTCATAAAGCTGCCGTAAAGCCTACAGGCCCCTGCTTGTTTGTGAACGCGCGTCCACGCACGGCCGGCGGGGTGGGGGGGCTCCCACGGTGCCCCCGCACGGTCTAGGGCGCTCACTCAGAGAGGCGGCCACCACTGACTTTTGTTGTGCCACTTGGGTAATAAAAGTGTGCATGGAGGGGCGCCAGAGGGGGCTCAGCCTGTTAAGCATCCGACTCTTGGTTTAGGCTCAGGTCATGATCTCGCGGTTCATGGGTTCGAGCCCCGGGTCAGGCTCTGTGCTGACAGCTCGGAGCCTGGAGCCTGCTTCGGATTCTGTGTCTCCCTCTCTCTCTGCTCCTCCTCCCTCCCCCTCAAGATAAATAAAGATTTAAAAAAAAACAAAAGTACATAAAGCCACTACTAAGAACCGACTCCCCAAGCAGGCGCTGGTCCCACTTACTTCCGCCGGGCCGGGCTGACCAGGAGGAGAAACCTCGTGGAGGTGGACAAGGTCGGAGAAGTCCGAGCCATCCCCCCCGCCCCCCGCCCCAGCCGGCTCCGGCCTTACCCGGTTGCGTGCCTTTATCCTCTTGTAGACGAAGTCGGGAAACGTCTTCCGAGGGATGAAGCGGCCGGCCCCGGGGGTGACGAACATGTTCCCGTCCTCCATCACCACCCTGCCCTGACTCACGACCACCGTGGGGGCCCCTCGGCACTCGAGGCCTTCAAAAATGTTGTACTCCACGTTCTGGGGAGACAGGGTGGAGGGCCGGCCTCACCCCCCTGCGGGCTGACCGGCACCCTCGGAGCCCTAGGGCCCCTGTTGTAGGACCTGTGAGAACCGGTCACCCCCGCTGGGCCGAACTCGGATGGAACTGGCCACAACGGGCCGTGCCAGTTTCTAAAACGCGTGTCTCGGGAGGAAGGGCCTGCGGATGAGCCTGTAACAGGGTTGAGTCTCCCGCAAGGCGGGGCAGGTAGGTGGTGCAGGTCCCTGGGGCTACCCCAGCCTTGACCCTGACGCTGACCCAGGGACTCAGGCTTCTCTTACCAGGTTGTGGCTCTTGGCAGAGATGATTTTTGTGGCCCTGGGGTTCCAAATAACCAGGTCGGCGTCAGAGCCCACAGCCACACGCCCCTTTCTCGGGTAAATGTTGAAGATTTTGGCCGCATTCGTACTGGTCACAGCGACAAACTCATTCTCATCCATCTTCCCTGAGGCCTGGGAAACAAGAGGGCCAAGGTGAGATGGGAGGGGGGGGTGCTTGTCCGAACAGCCCTCGGGGGTCTGGTCTCGCGGCCTTTGTGTGGACGGCGGCCCCTGTCCCCAGGCAGCAGGCGGCATCAGAACCACGCTCCCAGGGCATCGGAGGGCCCCGCTGTCGCAAACCCACGCGTCCCTGTTGGGCCCTGCACACCAGCACCGTGCTCACCCTGTGAGGCAATCAGCGGCCAGGTTTTGCTGACGTCTATCTCCCCTGGAGGACATGACAGTCCCCCGGGGTGGCCAGGCCTCGGGAAGAAGGGGGACGAGAGGGGGCTGGTGTCCGGGCCTCTGCGGGGGGAGGAGCTCAGGGCGGGAGTGCGGGGGTGCAGGCAGTGTGAGGAAACGTCAGGCCTTTGGGGGAGACTGGGCATAATCCCATCACAAATAGCGACCCGGCTCTCCCAGATGCATTCTGCAGGTGACCTGGTCGCCCCACAGCGGCGGGAGTCTCCTCCAGGGGTACCAGAACTGAACGTCTGGGGAGCCCTGGATGGCAGGGCTGGGGGCGTGATGCCCTGGGGACACAACACACCCCGACCTGTGTTCCAGGCGGTGTGTTTACCGGGTAAGTGGCTTTCTGTTCTGAGGGACCGGTAGGGGGGGATGGCCCAAGACCCCCAGTCCGCACGCACCACACACTTCTCCCAGACCACAGACATCCGCTCCTCGATGCCGTTGGTGCCCTCGGGGATGAGCGTGAAGTTGTCCTTGCCAACGGCCTTCTGGGCGGTGGTGAAGGTGCAGTGGGCACTGCCGGTCACCTGGAGGTCCCCGCTGAGAAAAGGGGGGGTCAGGGGAACCCACCGCGGCCTGATTTTCCTGAGCCGGCCAAGGCCAGCCGGCTTCGCCCCCCTGCCCGGCCAGCACAGCCCACGGGGGCCGGAGGCTGTCCCGGAGCAGCGCTGGGCACGGCCGGTGGCTCAGCACGGGGACGGGAGCGCCAGGACGGATCGGCGTGGGTTCTCTGCCCGGGGGGGGTCCCGGCCCGCGGCTCGTGCAGAAGCCCAGGGCTGCTGGGGCTGAGGTCGTGGCGGGGCGCCCGGAGGGGCTTCTCACCTGGACAGCAGGGAGGTGAGGCGGTCTGCGGTGGTGGGGTCCGGGTTGATGGGGGGGGACGTGACGAAGGCCGCGGCCTTTGCCCAGTTCTTGCTCCAGTAGTGCGAGCCGTCGGTGCCCAGGCTGGCGGTGATGGGCTCCCCAAACACGACCACCCCTGCAGGGAGGCCCGTGAGAGGCACCCCCACAGCCTGCGTGCCCCCCGGACCCGGGCAGGGTAGGGCCCTTCGCGCTGTGCTCTTGCTACGCCCCTCGATTTCCAAACCCTGTACGGCTCATCTCTACCTTCCAGGACACCCGGACCTTCCCCCGTGGGGGTCCCCTCCATACCCTCCCCTTCACACCATCTGCCAGAGGTCGGGCCTGCCGGGGAATCAGCTGGGCCGAGGGCAGGAAACGTGGTCAACTCTGCCCGCCCCTGCCGGTCTGAGGGCTGTCCCGTAGGACCCCCGTTCTTCTGTGTCCCCACCGCCTCCTCCACTGGGGGCGTTCTATGGGCAGAGGCCACCCAGGCTCCCAGTGTGTGCACCCCAGCTCCTGGAGGCACGGAGGCACCCAGCACACAGTGATGTGGGGCTCCCAGCGTGGGGCGGGGGGGGCGAGGTCCCATCAGGCATAGGGTCAGCTGTCCCTCACACGCACACGCCACGCACACACACACACGCACACACGTGTACACATGACACACGCACACACAGCTGTCACTTCTGTGCACACAGGACCAACGGGCCCCTTGTTTCATGGCCCCTGGTGAGCAGCTGCTACCTCGACGAGACAGGAGGCCGGGCCCCACCTGTACAGGCATGGGGCGCCTGTGTCTCCCGCAGGACTCACCCCTGGAGCCCCCGCCCGAGGCCCCACTGCCGAGAGGCCAGGCAGGGTGGCTGCTGCTTCTCCATCAGGCCTGCCCTGCTCTGAGACTCAGTTCAGCCAGCTGGGCCCCCAGTCCTGAGAACGTGACCCCCGATCCCTGAGAGATCCGCCCCCGCCCTCAAGCGTCTGGGGCCCAGGGCCCGGCACTCACCCCTGCGCTTGGCTTGGGCGACCATGTCGGCCGCACCCTTGCTCATCACTTTGGTGACGTACAGGGGGCAGTTGGCCTGCTTGGCAACGGTGATGGCACGGTACACGGCCTCGGCCTCCACCTGGGGACGGGAGCTCAGACTGAGCGGGCCCTGGGGCCTCCTGACCGGTGTGGGCATGGACGGCCACCATCACCCACAGATCCCGGGCCCAGAGGGGGCAGCGTGAGTGACTGAGGACCCCAGCCTGCAGTTCAGTGCCCAGGAGGGTCTAGGTTGACCCAGGTGGTTCCCAGAGCCTGACCTCACCGCCTTCTTGGCCTTGGATTAAGGGCCACCGGTGGTGATGGGGGACATGAGCCAGAGGAGGACCAGCGAGTCACAGCCCTGGACGCCCACGGGGTCAGGTCCACTCCCGTGAAGTGGCTGTCTGGGATGCGGTCAGGGCTGGGACGGCGCTCAGCAGGCAAACTCCTACCTCCTCAGGGCGGCTGAGCACGTGGCCCTCGGGGCCGGTGATGCCAAGCTCCAGCAACCGCTTCTGCTCCTAAAAACACGGACAGGACATCACAGTCCGGCCCGGGTACAGCCAGAGTCTCACAGAGCCTCAGTCTGGGTGTGATGTAGGCAGCCCAGGAGACCCCGCCCCCAAGATGTGCCCTGCCCCCCTGACGCTCATGTGAGCTCTCCTCCCCTACACTGAGCTCCGGGCCTCCAGGCCCCCGAATCACCAACTACAGAGAACTCAGAACGGAGGAGTAGGGTGGGTCTGGAGAGGAGTGACCCCAGCTCCCTACATTACAGATGAGGTTGGGGCTTGGAGAGGGCACCCCGCCTGCCATACTGTGTTCGCCGGCAGGGGGCATCCAGGAGTACACTGGGGGCTCCGTGGTCAGGGGTGGACAGAATGCACTTCCCCCGGCACGCCCTTGAAGATCTGTGCCTCTCGCGTGAATGAAGACGTGGATCCGGGAATCACCGTGAAGAACCGGCGAGAAGCAGAATCCCGTGGACCCAATAACACGACTCCCCACACTGGTGGGGTCTCCCTGGCATGTTCTGCCCACCTGCCTGCATACTGAGCCAGACCCATGGCGTTCTCCTAACTGAAGCCCGGCCTGGCCTTGGACCAGAGAGGCCACACATGGCACCTGGCGCTCTCGTGGCGGGGTGGGTGGACGAGGACCTGGGAACCCCACGTGCCCCTCCCCAGGTGTCACCACTTTGTTTTCAACTGGGGATGAGGCAGAGCCCAACCCACCAGGAAGCTTCTCTGTGTCTGGGATGCCAGGGAGGCATGCTGCCCCGTGAGGAGCCCCTGCACCTCCCAGGCACCCACAGCATCTGTACCTGCGGGCGCCGACCCCACAGCCCAGGCACAGGGGCAGGTGGGGGCCAGGACCTGTGCTCAGTGACCACAAGAAACAATTAATTCTCTGTGGGGCCTCGATCCACAGGGGCAGAGGACACCAGGAAAGCCCGTCTCGGTCCCCCCGGAAGCAACATTTTGGTTCTGGGAAACTTCTGATAAGAAGTGTGATGATCAGGGGCGCCTGGGGGGCTCAGTCAGTTAAGCGTCCGACTTTGGCTCAGGTCATGATCTCACGGTCTGTGGGTTCCAGCCCCACGTCGGGCTCTGTGCCGACAGCTCAGAGCCTGGAGCCTGCTTTGGATTCTGTGTCTCCCTCTCTCGGCCCCTCCCCCCTCCTCAAAAATGAATAAATGTTAAAAAAATGGAAAAAAAAAAGAAGTGTGATGATCACGGAGGAATCTCTATTATGGACAAAAGCCCCCCAGACCCCAACTCCCTGCTTGCTTGACCTCTGATCCAGGGCAGCCTGCCTACCAGAATATATCCACTGTTCCCTCCCTGGGGGTTTGTGCGACAAAGTGCCCACATGTGAGTGTCCAGAAGCCACCCCGGCCCCTCATCCGCCCCCGCCCATCCTGCGGGCAAGCCCTCCGGGCACCTCTTCCACGATGTCCCCGTTCTCTGCGTGCACTTGGGCCAGGGCACCCAGGTCCCGGATGATGCTGAAGATCTCGTACATCTGGGAAGAGAGCACACAAGGCGTGTGGGGCTGTGTGCACCCTGCCAGCGGCCTGGAGCACCCGCTGTCCCCTCCTCTCAGCCCCTGCCCTCACCTGGCCGTCGGTGCACTGGTACCTGTCCTTGTATGCCATGAAGACCAGGAAGGAGTTCACGCCTGGAGGACAAGCAGGGGGGATCAGATCCCAGCCGCTGTCGGTCCGACGCCCGGGAGCCTCCCCTGCTCCCTGATCTCCTCTCCCACGGGCCTGCTCGTAAACTAACTTGTGTCAAATCCCCAAGAAGCTCTGATGTGGGTTTTGCTTCAGGACTTTTGATTAAAAGAAATTAAGCCTGGTTCACAGACTGGCTTTTCAGTGCAGACAGCACAGAGAACTGCAGGTTGGAAAGTATTCCCTTCCTAAAAGGACGCTGGGAAAACTTGTGGTTCTTGTCTTTCGTCCAGGACGGGGACAAGGGGCCTGGGCTGCAGCTCAGGACAGTGACAGGACCCGTCCCTCAGACACAGAGGCAGGTGACCTCCTGCTCTGGATCCTCTGCAAGTAGAACAGACCTTCCAATTTGTCCTTCTTCCCCCCAGCTCCCAACCCCCCCACCCTGGGGTCAAACAGACGCAGAGTCCAGCCTGGCCAGGGGCTGGGGGTAGGGGCCCTTTCCAGCCAATACCAGGGAAGCGTGGACCCCCATGCCTACCCGCCCTCCAGCCACCCCAGCCGGCCTCTGGACATGCCCTTACCTTTGTCCTTGACCAGGGCCTCCAGCTCCTCCCTGATGCTCTCATGCCAGCGGGGGACATCCACGTGGAGGGAGTAGTCACAGCAGGCTCCACTGTCCGCGCGCTCCCGCCACTGCTCATAGGCTGCCAGCAGGCTCCCACCCGTGTCGGGAAATACGTGGTCCACTGTGGGGGGGCAGTGCGGTCAGCCGAGCCCCCACTCTGGTCACCAGAAACCACCTTGGCCTCCAAGGGAGACTGGTTTCATGCTCCCAAGAGATCAGGAAGTGCCTTTGAAAAAGCCGTGGAGAGGCCACGGGCCGCTTCCATGAGGCCGGTGCTGCTATGAACCTGCTTATTGGTTCTGTCCAAAGAGGCACCTTCTGCCTCATATCCCTTGGCCTTCTCTGAGCAGAGAGAAAGCCCAGACTCAAGCCACCCACGCCCTGATGGACACGTTCACCCCAAGGAGCGCCGGTGGCAGTCCAGAGCCTTAACCTCCAACACAGGTGTCTACGTGAGTGAGCGCACCTGGAGGGCCAGTGGAGGGGGGAGAAGCAGGTGGTGGTGCTGTCCGTGGTGCTGAACCCGGCCAGCCAGCCCGGAACAGCAGCACGGGGCTGGCTCCCCTTACTTGTACCTCACTGACTAC